TCAGTCTTAAATTATTTAGGATTTTTTATTTTGGGCGAGGTTACATTAAAAGTATGATCCAGTTTAAACGGGATTGAATGTCGCGGACTATAATGTCGGAGTGAAAGCGGGGAGTGTTGAAAACAAATTCGCACTACCCTGTTATTTGTCAGGATACACCTGACGCCCTCTTTTCTTGACCCAGTTTAGTACCTGGCTGCCATTGTAAAAGTACATAGAGATCAATAAATTTCGTCTTTCGAGATTTTCGATGGCATTTAAGGTGCAGAGAATTCAACAATCAGGTTTGAATAAGCTGCGATAAAACTATTTTAGTATTAAATTGTAAGGCAAAAATTAGTATTAAATGTAATCTCAGAATTTTTTTGTCCGTTTCTCGTTGGTAACAGGCTGATATTGCACAGATTGATTCCAACCAAATTCTGGGCTGCTTCGGACCATGTCAAATAGTATTAAGTTTTGCCCGGTTTTTAAATGTGGCATTTACAGTTGTTTCAAATGTAATAATTCTCATTATTTTCCAGATACGTTGAGTATGCATTTAAAGAAATAAAACCCCCAAGAATGGGGTTGATAAAAATAATACCATGAAAAGAAAAAACGTAAAACTATTAAATGATAAAATAGTTTTTAAAGTAAATTTATATAATTTATTTTATTGATAGATAATAAAATTAATGAAAAAATAATGAAATCAGGGCTGATGCAGTAAATGTTTCTCTCTCTCTCTCTCTCTCTCTCTCTCACACACACACACACACACACACACACACACACACACACAGATATATATATATATATATATATATATATATATATATATATATATATATATATGTGTGTGTGTGTGTGTGTGTGTGTATGTGTCTTTTTAAAAAATAAATTTATGTAGAACATTTATTTGCACACTAAATAAACCATATATACACAAAATTAAGCATCGTGAGTGATTTTCATTATCAAAATTTATAAAGTATGTTTAAAATCTATGAATTATATTATTGAAAATGGAGACTGTACAAAAGCAAAGATACCAAATAGCACATTATTTAAAAATTTATATATTTTTTTAACGTAGGACTTCCACTGACCTATCAATTGTTCCTGGCCCTTCCTCATTTTAACGCTGGTATTTCAGGAGTTTACCCTGAGAAACCATCTTATCTTACATTTGCACCGCTTATTTATTACTTTATTGGATCATTGCGTCTTTAATTAAATTTAACTGCAAATACTAGTAGTGTGATCCGGTAGCGTACTAACGAGGATGGGCGCCAGAAGTCTTGGGTAGCCAAAACCACGTGCGTCAAGGGTCTTGGAGCGCGAAAAACTTCTTTGGACATTCGTAGCTGTTCCAAGCGCCATGTACCCTTGGTAGGCCACTGATGGGGTCATCTGACAATGAACTGTTCCAACGTCGCAATAATTAAAGCATTTTGACGTCATTAGCCAATGTACTGATTTTAATACCATTCCAGAACACAAAACATAATTCTACTTGAAATAACTTTGCTATCTTTGGCTGCATGGAAGTGTTATTATATTTATCAATATAAACAATGTTTAATTAATATAATATATGCTTTAAATTAAATATTTTCAAATGTTTCAAAAGTTAAAATGAATAGAAGCTGGTTTACAGGCAGGAGATTTTACTCAAAAGACAACAATGCAATGATAACAGCAGATAAAAAAATGAAAACAGCGGTGTACGTTATACTAAAAAGTCACTCATCATTCACTCTTTATAAGAAGCATGATTTACACAAGAAATGAATATATACATTGGGTCATGTTACATGTATTGCTGTTTGATAGTTTTGAAACTAACCTCCTTTACGTAACGTCACGTTATATTTTTATCTTTTTTAACATTGTCTTTCTTATAGGTTTGCGAAAACAGTTAAGACTGTTCCATCGTTTTTCTTTGAATAGAATATTACACATGATCCGAATCACTTTGGCATTTAGACTGAATCAGCGATGATTCTTCCCAAGAGATCAGAGGGAATTTTTTTGCATGACGAGCAAGGTAATACTATTAGTATGAACTTTTAACTTTACCTAGAAACTATTTTCCCGACAGTTCAAACAATAAATATTGTAAAACTGGGATAAAATATTTGCCAAATTATTTGAACTCGCGCACCTGTTGCGGAACGCGGGAAGTTGAAAACAATGTCAAACAGAATTCATTCCACTACTAACCATGACCGGTGTCTATTTCTTTCTTGTAAGTGAAAGTTAGAGACTGAACAGGTAAGTGTTTCAATAAAACGAAGCTGAGATTTTGTTTCTTCTAATCTGACCTCAATCCCTTAGTCGTAGGTTAATAAATCAGCCCCTCTCTAGTGATGTTATTGATTTGTGTCCGACAGTATCAGCACAGATTCGGAGGGTTGATTTATCGGACTACCTGAGTCGATTTAGGGATGATGGCCGATTCTGACCATCGCTAATTCGGCCAAAATTACGGGTTTATTCGGACCATGTGAAATATTTTAAGAAAAGCCATGGAAGACAAATATTTTATATTTATTTTAGTATAGTACAAGTCACATGGGTCATGTTAGACCAACAAGTAGGTCTCTGCTTTTTATTTCTGACTGCTGTCAGAAAAAAAAAAGCAGAGACCTATTTGTTGGTCTAAAGTCATGTATGCACAGTTAATTATTTTAAATTAAATATTTTTTAAAAAATTTAACACTAATTTTCTTTAACCAAAGTCTAATCAGTCCTGATTATTGAATGCTCTGAACCATAACTGTCGCAAAGTAACTTCCAGACGAAAATTATTTATCACTATGGACTTTTGCAATGGTGTCTATTTACTAAATTTGGGTCAAAAGAAGCAGTACCTATAGAGTGGGGTTGGCAACCAAGATATAACCCCCAGGGCCAGGGCAGAACAACACTTTTTAATTTTATAAAAGAAGGGTTTTTTTTTTTTTTTAACAAGAACCAGGAGAGGCCCTGGTATTTCTTACCCTTGCTATAATTTTGTTGCCTCAACTTGGTTTGTTATGGTTGTCTGACAAGAGGTAGGATTATGGGTACTAATGCTAGTGCTATTTTTACCCCATGATAACTCTCTACAGTCCTGAAAATAAGAGCATATTGAGTGGAATCGTCACAATCAAAGGTAGTATGAATTTGTTTATCAATAAGCGTAGCTTTCATTGTGACATGACAATGTGCGACATTCAATCCAGATTTTTACTGGATCACACCATTAGGTTCATTTCATCCAATAATAATTACGTACTTGAATATTGATTTGCCTTATGCACTTGTTTGGGTGTCTAAATAATGACCTTCTAAAGGAATATGGATACATACGAATCCAAATGAAGTGAATACTTGCCCACTTAAAGGTACATGTATGTAGAATCAAATTCTAAAAAAAAGACACCCATTGCTGAAATAGTCTGTGTTGAATGCCTACATGACCAGTGTGACTTGCACTATAGTTATACTCCAATGCTGTATTATCATGGGCTCAATATTATGGCAAATTGAATTTTCCGATAAATTTTTAATATATGCCATCTTACACTTGTTTACAGATGTAAAATTGTAGCCAATAAGGACGCAACGATCTTTCAGCACAATTTCCTCTAAAATGTCAACATTTTCTTAAAGTTTACAATGAAATGGAATGAACATCACTTTTTGTTAAGTGCATGCAATTAAGTTTGATCATCATATACAAAACTCCAATCAAACTTGCTATACCTGATTAGCGTTGATTACAAAATATATTCAGTGTATCATCTGATGTTTGATGATTATAGGTCATATACTGATAGTGACATTCATCTCCTAATAAGGTTACACTTGGAATTTCATTTCATGGTAGACAATATGGACCAAAACTGATAAAGCATTGTTTATGATCTTCCCTAATTATCCTACATAAATAGGAAAGCAATAATAGTTAAACTATTTTTTAAATCAACAATATTTCAGCATTATTAATAATAATAATAATCGATTCATTTGTATATATAGATTTTGCTGTCCATATTGCACTTAAAATTCAAAGTGATATATATTTTTTATTTTTAATTTCTACTCTTATCATGGATTTCAACTTAACTAACATTAGTGTATTCAGTTTGGTCATTGGATCATTTATTTTGGTGAAAATATTCAGCCAGTACAAGAGTGGACATTCTGTGTTATCACTGTGTTGAAATTTATGTTATAATCTGTGCATGCAACCATACTTAGGTAAATACCGCAAAAATATGGTATGGTAATCTGAATCAGCGGCAGTATGCAGTTTTACTTATATTTAAGCAATTGGATTGACAGATTTTTTAAAATAGGAATATAGCCAGTTCCAACAATATAAAACAGCAATGCTTATACATTTATGCATGGTTTTCATTTATCTCTAATGCAAGTCATGCTTTATTTGTGATGTATTTATCCCTAAAATTATTTGATAAAGTTTTTGATGAGTAACACAAAAGCAAAATGTACTTTAATGGTATCATTCACTTTGTATCTTATGAGCAAAATCTCAGTTTATGGACACTCCACAGCCCCGTCCCATGATAGTATTGGTTAGAGCTTTAGGGTTGTCACTTCATTGATTTAAATATAATGGATTTTGTGTTATTATCCATGTCTTCCCTTTTCTATGTATTTTCCAAAAATAAAAAAGAAATAAAAGAATTTTGAGGAAAGAATTTGGAATTGATGTCTCTTTTTTAAAATTTGTTTCCTGCAAAAAATTATCCAGTTTTATCCTTTTGCCTTCAGGCATTTGGGCTAATTGAAGCAGTTTGTATGCCTTATCCCTTTTTAGTTTTTGATTTTCTAGTCATCAGTGATATCTGCCCAGGATTTCTTGTTAGTTTAATTTTGTTCATACTTTTTGTCCCTTTTATGAAGTACATATGTAGTTGCGGTGTTTGATCATTGTTATAAAACCCCTTTTTTTCTGTGTTTTGTAATGTTTTTAAATCTGTGTGGTTTGTTCTCTATTTACTGCTCTGGTGGCTTATTGGTTAGAGCATCTGCCTTGAATATGGTAGGTCGCAGGTTCAAACCTTGGTCGAGGCATACCAAAGACTTTAAAAAATGGTACTGACATCTGCCTCGCTAGTTGCTCAGCATTAAGAGGTTTTGTTAGGACTGGTCGGCTAGTCTTAGGATAATGTGACTGAGTGGGACACAATGTTACATGTGTGTGGCATGATGCCCCAGTGCTAGACATCACTATTATAAACTGCCACACTGCAGGCATCTTAGCGATTTGGCTGAAAATTTATTAAAGCTGCATTAAAAATCTAAATCATACATGCATAATCTGTTTAAAGGAATGTGTTTTGTTGCTGGTGCTTATATTTATATGCTCTGTCTTTTAAGTAAAATCTAGACTCAGTAAACCAACTTAATTTTAATTTTGACTTTTGAAATATTTTATATTTCATTACAAGCACACATTAATGCAATAGATAGTATAAAGATAAGTTCTCTGTAATTTGCATACAATTAAATGTTTCAATATGAAAACAAATAAAATGATGTGCTTTAAACAAAGATTTTTAAATATGTATTCCATCTCTCAACAGAGATAATACTGCCATTTGCATTATTGAAAATCTTACTATAGGAAGCCCTGTTTTATATTTGTTCTTTTCTGGTCAGTGTTCATAATTTTTTATTTCTCAATAAAATAAAGTATTTAAATTTTGTAGAAAGTTGAATAGGCTGCTTTAAAAATTATTTAATTTCTAAACTGCAAAATGTACAGTCTTACGTTTAGTCATTTTATTACTTTTATTACGACCCCATTATAACATGTACTGTCGGGGGTTTTGTTGCCTTCAAGTTCAATGCATATTTGAACTGCTCTGTGTACTTGGGAAATAATGAGAATATTGTCTTTAAATACTAATTTAAATGTCATATTTAAATCCCAGATGAAACTTAATATTTCACATGGTCCACATTAGTCTGGAATTTGGGCCGAATCAGCAAGTAATGTGGGCCGAATCAACCAGTTACCTTCATACAGCATCAGGAGCTTTCATTGTGTTGAAACACCAATAATGTTAGGGACACTTTGGCAACAATCAGTTAGAAATTGTAAATCAATGAATGAAATGACTTAGTTTTGTACATTTTTTATATCCTTGATGCTTTTGTTTTAAAATTTGATAAGGTTGTACAAACAAATGGAAGGGTCTGCAAATACTAGAGGTTAGTTTATAATGTGGATATGCATAAAATCACACCTTGAATATACTTTTTTTAAAACTTCAGAACAGTTTTGCATTCTTCATATTTTATCTCACATGAAGTGCAAATAATCAAGGAGAAAAAAGACATCCAGTCAGTTACAGGAGCATGTTTTATTATTTATTTAGTATTTATTTATTATTTATTTATTTATTAAGTTTATTTCAGTTTATTATCATTGTTACCTAAGTATTTTATCAAAAGCAACTAAGAAATCAGCTTTAAAGTATGTTACTATGTTTTCCTGTTGTTGAAAACTTTAAATAAGTGGGAATTATTGTATCACAGATTTATTTTCTACTATCTAGGAAGCAAACAAATTGTATGGTGAATGCCATACAAAACAAATTATATTTATTGAAAATTCTTCCAATTCACCTGTTTTTCTCTTTTAATTCTGTTGTTCGTTCTTCAAACAATTGATGACATGATGTAAATAAAACAATTAACTCTATAAGAGAAATGTGTTATTTAACCAAGTACTCTTTAGATATGCCCTTCCATTGTATCTTTCTATAAACAGTATTTGACAAGCTTACTGTCATGCAATCCATTTGTTTTCATTTGTAAACCATATAAATTCATGTATTCTAAAACTGGGGGACAAATAAAAAATGTGGGGTCTACAAATTAAGGTAAAGAAAACACTGGCTTATCAAATGGCCTAAACAAAATATTTTTTAAATTTTTTTTTACTGGTTTTAAATTTAGGGTAGGTTGTATTTTATTAAAAATTATATGTATTATAAATGATTAGGAGGGCTGGAATAGGTTGAAGTATTACTATATGCAGTCCAAACATAAAAGATTATTTTTATTAAATCAGGTTATTTCGTATGAAGATACAACTGTATCGACAATTTTGTAGAAACAACTCAAAGCGGTTTCTGCTGGTTCGTTATCAACAAGCCTCAAGCTTTTCTACCATTTTAGCTGAGTCATCAACTTTTGTTACAACACTGAAATGTATTTTGTTCGGTTGCATAAACTTGTATGGAGTGTCATGCCCATCTTATTTGATGCATCCATAACTTACCAGTAACCATGTACTTTTAATTTTGAGCAGATTAAGATAATCAAAGAAGAGTGAATAGATCATTTTATTTCAATTTTAAATTGTGCACGTCAGTGACTAAAGGACTTTTAGTTTAGTATGTTGGAGGTATGTGAGGTGGGAGGGTTGGGCATTTTCTTGCCAACCAGAATATTTTTTCCTTTATCCTGCAATCATTTTTTTTACAGCTATTGTGATGGATAGAGTGTTCTTTTTCTTTTTTGTCTACAAAAACAGACTTTTTTCAGCTATTTGGAGCACCAGAATTGAAAGAAAACAATCTTCTCCCCCAGAAAATGAAGTTGTTGCCCCCCACAAAATGAAGTGGTCAGTTCCCAATGTGAGAAAATTTTGTTTAGATTTGCTTTTCTGGTGGTTTTGTTTTATATCAGTTTTCACATGATTTAACAGAATAGCTGAGAAAAGCTTCTGATGCATGAAAGTCACAGATACTAGGAATAAATTTCAGTGTATCAGTGAATATAATTAGTAAAGTTGTGACTTGTCAAGGCATGATATTACTGGGTGTTTTTTTTACCACAGTAATATATACAGAATATATAGTTCATCTTTGAAGCGTGAAAAGAGTTAAGCTGTTGATATGGGGAAACTAGATTGTTTAATTTATTATACTTTACTATATTTCAAGTGCTTCATTTGTGTTCTGTTTATTCAGTTTCCAGGAAGGAGTTGTGAACATTTGAAATGTACACCAGAGTGATCACTGGAATTCTGAAACACTGAGCATCTATAAATATGGATCTTTACACAATATTTTCCCTGTAGATTAATATGTTCATTGAAAAAGCTTTCACAAGGATTATTCAAGTCTAAATTGACATCTGAAATGCTTCTGACAGTTTGAACTGAGATATAACTTTTTAATTGCAAAGACACTCACAATGAATAAATAGTTCAGGAATTATGAATAGTCGTTACATGGAAAGTGGACTGGTCAAATTAAATATAGGTAGACTTTTAGTGCATTTTGTGTGGTATACTCGGAAGTTGTGGCTAGGAATAAGTGACAAGGTCCTATCTTGGGTAGCAACAACATTCTAGGGGCAGTTTGCAATGATCTTACACTGTCCATTGGTTTTTGAGAGATGCTTTACATGCTAGATTAATAGATTTCCCTTGTTTTAAGTTAAGTGGTAATTATAGATGCATACAGCATTAACAGTAATTTATAACTCAGTTCATGAAATTGGAACAGTGAAATGGAATTTAAGCTAGATTCTTTCAGATTCAGTCATCAAGTATATTCTAATCATGATCACATCCAAACAGTTTCCTTATTTTGTTTTCATAAAGTGTGCTTAACAGAATCGGGAATTGCAGGATTCTGTAAGATTTTTCATTATTACAGTTCCTCTGCATGATCGTGCATCCCTTTCCATTATTTAATATTACAGTTATATGTTATATGGACTTCATTATAAGGCAGTCTCACGATAAGGCAGTATTCTCTGTGGTCTTATGGACAGTGTTATAATGAGGTAGTAAAATAGTTTCTGTTCCCCCAAAAATTTAAAGAGTATAATATGATAAGACACTGTTTTAGAACGCGAAGGAAAGGGAGGAAGGATCTATCAAATGAACTGGAAGAGAATATTGATGATGATGATAAGGATGAGCCATCTAGGTATTCAAATTTACATGTAAGTTTAGGTGAAAGTTGGGTGAATGTCCAAAAGTATGAACCTGCCATTGAGACACAAAGAGTGACTTTTTATATAGGTTCAGAGACAGAAATTCCTGCTATATCAGAAAATGTGACGTTTTACCTAAGAAGACTAAAATGTGTTGATGATTTTAAAAAATTAGAACTGACTACAAAAAAAGTCAATCAACAGGTGCAATGTAATTATGAACAAATGACGCAGAGACAGAAGTCTTCACAGTTACATGTAAATGATGACTTGAAGGTGACAGCCTCAGGGAGTTTCTACTTTCCATCATATATTATCCAGGTACACTAATTTATATACATGTATCTTTTACCTGCATGATTTATATGAGTAGTACTGCATCCTTCTGAATGTTAAATCTGATGAACTTGACTAACATATTTGTGTCACCTGACAATAGCTAACCAGACAGTTACCTGTCTGGTCACCAGGCACCAGTCATTTTGTCCTGGTCACCAGTCAGATCATACCAATCACTGAATGTTCACTTGTCATTAACTCAGAGACCTTATTTTTGGGGGATACAAAATGTATCATGTTCTTCACTTGCCCAACTCCACCATCCCATCCTAAGCTGCAGTGGTAGTCTGTCCACCAGGTTCAGACTAGGGAAGGAGACCAGATCTGTATCTCCCCTTTCCTATCATCCCATTGAATCCTTATGTGATGTGGAGCCCTCTACCACAAGGAGGTTGATCATGTATACCTCAGTGGACAACTGGATCCAGGACCCAGCATAGAGGTGATGCTTCAGCTTGTGTACTGCCATCCTCCTCATCAGATTGCATCAACCTGGAATATTGAGACATGGCATCAGCTATTCCATCCAGGAAAAGATAAGTATCCTTGCGACACATACCAAGATGATGAGCTATGGAGGGTGGTGCAGAGTTCTCCTATGTTACCACCACCATCACCATTCCTTCACCCCCACCCATTCCAAGGGAGGGAAATAGTGACATCCAACCAATATCCTGTTCTGTATAGACATGTACCAGACGATCATGATGCCTATCAATCCACATCGACTACAATGAATTTGTTGTTGATGCAACACCATTGACACCTCTTAT